TGCTGGAAGGTGTCCCTCTCTCCAAGTGAGGAGGAAGCGAGTGCAGCTGGCCAGTGGCTCTGCGACTGTGGGAGTGTCCCAGCAGGGCTGCAAGGAGGGCAACGGCGATGTCTGTTGCTGAGTGTTCTTTCTCTGCACAACTTATTGAGTCTTGATAATCTACTTTCAGATTTTTGGAAGTGTAATCACGTGTTTCAAGTTAGGGTCTTTATAATTTTTCTCACAATGGATCCCTTTGGCACGTGTTAATGGCCAAGGGAGCAGGTGTGGGTGGAAATGGATCATTCCTCTCCTGCCAGCCCTCCTGCTGTCTGCCCTTCCTGCCCTGCACCTCAGCCAAGCCAGCTCTCTCAGGAAGAGGCTACTTGGAGACCCAGCTCCTTAGGAACTGATACTCAGAATACAGCAACCGGCATGGTATGGGATGGGGTGGTGTGGGCACTGACTGTTCCAGAACGACACAGGGCGTGAGCCACCATGGCTGAACTTCTGCCGTGACTTGACTTCTATCTGCCTTTCTGTCACACTCAATGAGAGCCCAGCCCCCTTGCCACGGCTCGCTCAGGCTCCTGGTTCTCCTCTCCTCCTGTTCAACCCTCCTTCCCCTCTGCTCTGGCAGCACGGCCTTCCTGCTGGTGCAGGAACATCTCCAGCTCACCCCATCCCAGGGCCTCCTTTCTTGCGGGTGTCCTGGTTCACTCCCTCATTTCACCCAGGTCTTTACTCAACTATTTCATTGCCCAAGAGGCCCCCACTACCACCCCGGGCACCTTCTTTCTGCCTGCCCTGCTGGTTTGTTTTTTTTCTCGTGGCGCTGGATTTATGCATTATGGCTTCTCTCCTTGCGGCAGAATCTAAGTTCTGCGAGTGCAGGGATGTTCTCTCTCCTCACCCATGGGACCACTGTGTCACTCACTACATCCCAGCATGGTGCCTGGCATGTAGCAGATGCCCATAAAACATTTGCTGAATGAACGAATGTGCGCTAAAACCAACTTGAAATCCTGCCTGTTTCCTCCTGTGCATGCGGGATTCCGTGCAAACACGGGGTTGGAAATATGGCAAATGGAAGCTTTAAGAGAATAGATTTGGTAACGATCTGAGAGTCATCAGAACAGTGCATGCCCTCTCTCACATTTTGCTTGCAGCCTGGTTTTGCAGTGCTTTCTCTCAGGATTAAGGTATTGTTGGCAGAATCAACTCTTTTTTTATTTTCAGGAGACTAATACTGTATCATATTTCAGTATTTGGGCTCACTTTTTAGTTGCCTATATCTAGCCATTGAATGGTATCAGTTAACAATATCAGCCTTAAGCCCACTGCTAAGCTTGGCTTCTGCACTGCACTGTGGGTTTCAGGGCTGTCAGTAAGAGTAACGTGACTGTGGTTGTTATTGCTCTCATTGCTGATTTCATCTGACTCACAAGTGAAGGCGCGCCTTCCTCCTGTGCTTGCAGCAGTAGGTCTGAATTACCGTGAAGTGAGTTCAGCTGGCATGAGCTCGCAGGGTGGTGCAGCGAGGGCTACCACCACAGGTGCATCTTCCTCTGTGGGGTTCCTTATGGCCCACCTGTTTTCCATAGTCCTCTGTTTTGTCGGAAATGGAAAACGAAGGCCTCCTGGTTGATTGCATGTGTACGTGGGTGTATAATGTGATGGGCATTTCCAGAGTGTGCCTGGGCAAGAGGATCTGGGCAAGGGGGCAGGGCCTCCAGCTTCACCCGCATGTGTCTGCTCCTTCCTGGGGGCCAAACAGTGTGTTTGCCACCTTTGGGCATGCAGCATTTGAGAAATAACAGGTGTCTCTGTCCCCAGAGAGGGTACCTTTGCTAACTAGGATTTGTTTGCTGTTGACTTAGGGGATGCTGATGTTCGAGCAGCTCCCTTGTCCCTAACTGTGTCATTGGAACAATTGGTGACCTTTCTCTTAACAAGAAGGATGAAGGAGCCCGTTCATTCATTCATTGGACATATTTTCATGGAATGCATGATGTGCTTGGGGTGTGCTATCACTGAAGACACTTCAGGTTGCAGGATCCCTTAATACATGACCTAATGAATGGCTGACCCCTGCCACGAACCAGGGCAAAGCTTTTTCCATAGCTTTGACTGTACAGGGTTAGTTATCCTTGGGTAATGCTTTGTGACACTCTAAGGACAATGATGAAAAATTAAATATGGTCAAGCTCATTTGTCTCAGGGGCCAATGGGCTGTTGGGATGCCCGAGCCCCAAATGCCATTTTGAATTATTTTTTAGTTACTAGACTACCTTCGACTGAACCACCTACAATGGCCTATATTTGACAGTTTTTTCACTATATAAAAACTACAAACACTTATCAGGAGGGTTCACAAAGAACAAAACTGAGATTGTTTCCTCTTGATCCCTCGCCGCTGAGGACAGGATATGAGTGTGTCTGGGGCTGACACGCCCTGGGAAACTAAGATACAGGAAGGCGGGTGTTGCTCACTCCACTCTTATTTTTATAATCCCTGGTGGCTGTCATTGCATCATCTCCTTGTGGGGGAAAATGTGGCAGTGTTGGTGGCAGAGGACACAAATTCTAGTCTCAGCCCCTCCAATTACCAGTGACAGGCTCCTCACAAGGCCTGCGCATTCCGAGTGCTAATCTAGACCGGTTCTTGGTGTTCCCATAATCATTATGAGCTGTGTGACTTTGGGCAAGTCAGTGAACCTCTCTGAGCCTCAATTTCCTTTTTGGGAAAATAGAGAAGACATCCATGAAAACGCTTTGTAAAGTGCTAGAGAAATGTTCAGCAGAGGTTAAATGACTAGGCATCGGCTTATGTTTCCTTGCTTTATTTTTTAGGAAAATAGTAACATCGGGGACTTAAAAAAATTCCTTCCTGTAATATACGAATTCAGTAAGGACAGAATCATAGGCAGTGAGATGGAGGCGGCAGGCTCATAGGCAGGGTTGGCCGGAGCTTTTGTCTCCTAATTGATCTAATGTGCTAAGTGGGCTTAATGTAAGTTAATTAATGATACTATTGGTGGGTGGAATACCTAGGCAGAGCCACAAACAGCATCAAAGGAATGAGCAGGCAGGTGTCATCCAGGATAATTGAGGCATGCAGGCAGCCACCAGGCAGGCTAGGAGGAGGGTGAGGGGAAACTGAGCCCAGCTGAGGGGTTGAGCCACTTGAGCAGCAAGGCTGTCTGCCAAACGCCATCCTGTTTACAGCTCCTGTATTTGAATTTCAGATTTGCTTGAGTCTTTGAAGCTGGGTTCCTGGGCGTTTCCTTGAGAATAAATTCTATTCTTTGGAAACCACAAAACGCACTCACCTGGACCCATAAAGGAGCGTCAGGTAACCCAGCTTCCGTCTGTGGGCCTGTGAGACCTGAGGAACTTTGACGAAGAGGCTCCCTATTTAACAGAGGCAAGTCGGTTTTGTGCTCCGTGAGATGGGGTAAGACCAGGTCTGTCTGCACTCCCGAGCAATGCTGGGCTGCCGCCCAATGGCAGCCACTGGGCTAGGCATTGAGGGTACCATGATGCCTGAGAAACGAAGATGAGCCCCTGACACTTCTGAACTTCACAAATGTGTATCCCCAACAAAATGAAAGTCCAGCTCACAAAAGCAAGAAACCAGGTAGCGGCCAGGGAGTGAAAATCAAGCATTTCAGGGAAATTGTATTTACTTTTTCCTCTCGAAGACCGGTCCTTCCAAGATTATCCTCCAACTGTGCTGTCACAAATTAATCCTCCCACGGCACAGCCTGGCCCACTTAGGGATGGGGAGGGGTACAGTGGAGACCCCCGCCGATCACTACCAGGATCGCCAAACTTTCCCAGCCGTGAAGGGTGCACGTGGACAGTCATCGGAACAAACGCTTATTTCCCAACCTTGACTAGAGTCACTCTCTTTTTGGTAGCCTCTGTCAAAATGTATCTTTAAAGGCTTTAAGTGGCTATGACATAGAAACCTCAGCGTATCAAGCCAGGAAAGACACATTCTCTATTTTAGATGCCTGGATCCCTTTTCTCCTTCTTCACCTCTTTGTTACAGTTTCACTCTTGCTTAGAAAGTGTCTCAAAAATGCCACTTGAGAGCCACAGAGCAGTGGCCTGGGGACCGGGGAAGAGGACGGAGGTGCTCCTGTCTCTCCGTAAGTCTCCTCATATGCGTGTGCCCCTGACTGTGTGGGACTCCCCACTGACCGGCATTTGCCCTCCTCGTAGATTTGAACTGTCCCTCTTGTTGCTGACCCAGCACAACACGGGCAGGGAAACCCAGTGGGAACCTCGCCTGCTGTCCTCCCTGCCCAGCCACCTTCTACTCCCTGAGCTGATATCTCAAAGCCTGGCTGCTACGGGAGGCTGGGAATCAGAGCCGGCTCCTGTCGAGGAGCCCAAACAGCCCCACTCTCTGTCAGAGTGTTGAGAGGAACCTCTTGGCTGGAAATGAAAACCTCAATCATCACAAATAGGTACTCATTCCCCTCCTTCTCTCCCTCTCCCCACCCCTCCACCACCAACACAGAGGCCAGGATATGGGGGGTCTCAGACATGACTGGATACCCCACTTGGAAGGTCTCTTAGGGCACAGCAGGTACACAGAGTTGGAGGCAGGTACAGAGCCCTGCTAGAGTCCCAGCCGCGCCTGCCTTCCCCAGTGAGCCGGGCACAGGGGCAAACCTGAGAAACATACTTTTCACGCTCCCTGGAGGAACCCATGGCTTCAGTAGCCCAAATCTTAAAGTCTGTGAAGCGCACACAGAATTTGGCTCCCTAACCAAATGTCCAACCAACAGCAAAATGGGGTTTCTGATGTTTTCCTGAAAACAAAGGAACAATCTCAGGTCTTATAACTGGTAGCGCAGACATACTGCAATCGGTAAAGCTTGTTCAAACGCAACCCAAAAATGACATGCATTTCAAAAATGCACCCAGGCTCTCTCCCAGCCCATGACACCTCCGTCTCGGCCACAGCTGAAGAGTTTAGAAAACCAGAGGAAAGGACCAAAGCTTACCCGGCTTCTGTTGTGGGTCAGCTTCAGTCCCAGCAGAAGATGGGTCTATGAAGAAAGCCAGGTACATCCAGTTCTGGGTGACAGGCTTCACCGGTGGCCACCCTGGCAGCCCTCTCAGAAGCAGGTACTCTATGTCCTTAGGGGCCAGTAGGGCTGCCTGGGACCTGGCACACCTCTCTGCCACCAGCCCTGCTTCTTTTCCTTTCAATTTAAAGGGCTTCCCGGGAACTCTTCCTTTACTGCTCCCTGTCCTGTCTGCAAGTTTGGAAACGCAGTCCTTGCGAGGGGCTTTCCCTCATTGCAAACTCACCTGCACCATCTAGAGGTCTGTCCCAGCACTGGAGAGACTGGAGCGGGCACGTTCAGCCCTGCTGCCATAGGTCCCTGGCACACCTGGCTCTCTGGACGTCTGCCCCTTAAGAGATCTGTTGGAAGGCATAAAAATCATTGCTTTTTTTTTTTTTTGGCAGGGGTGGGGGTCTTGCTTCTATCAGAGCCTTTAGGCATGGGAGTGCTAAAAACCTAAACTAGCATTAAAATATCATTAATCAAAGCTTGTTCGTAGAAGGACCCCCCACTGAGATGGCTACAGGCGTGGGTGCCACTGCACGGATTCAGCTTCCAACATGTCTGTTCACATTCTCACCCATCCCCCGCACATCCCTCAGGGTTTGAGCCACCAGGACTGCTCTTCCTTTCCCTGGACACCTCACACCACCAGTGTATACCCATGTAACTTCAGATAACCATACACACCCCCCGTAAACTAGGTAATTAGGAAGCCATTTGAAACACAAACATTTTGGAAGGACATACCTTTCAGTATTGGGCAATTATTTCTCAAAAAGTAAATGATCTTGGGGGGGGGGAACCAGCCTTAAAATAATGTAATTCTCTTGTCATTTTCTCCCTCATTCACACCTACACAGATAAATACAGGAACAGAGCAGCTCCTCCAGGCTAGATTTCTGTGTTCTCCTTTTCCATCTTGCCCCCTCTGTCTTGGAAACCTACAAGGTAACTCACACGTGAGAAAGTAAGAGCTTAAGAAAGAAACAGTCTGGGCACGGTGGCTCACACCTGTAATCCCAGCACTTTGGGAGGC